ACATTTGAGATGATTATGGCATCAGCTAATTGAACTACTTTACTGGATAGGTGGGCCTATCCTAGTTTCCCGTTTTTAATTTGATAGACAATGAAATAAAGATTTGCGCTCATACGAAAAGAACGAATTAAACCAGATTACGGCAGCGAATGTGAGAAGGAGAACTTTAAAAGAGGTGTATATAGGTAAAGTATTTATAGTAAAATATCTCAGTAAACCTTGTCCAAGGCAAGTTAAGATAAATGATATTAAGGTTCGAATTCTGCATTGAAGTTGACGATTATTCTTGCATTTCTGTTAATCATATCTACACTTTGATTGAATGAAAAGCATTATCTTTATCCGAAGCAACGAAAACTTACTCCTAATCTATCGTATATAGTACTCATTAATATTCGATGTAGGGTATGTCAGCTAGTTGACGTTTAACAGATCATAGTATTTTTTGGCTCTTTTGCGCATGTCAGTGATGCCAGATTTTTATGTAAAAATATGTGTCCATGTATGTAGATACGAGTATGCATATGTGTCTGTTGGCATTTTATTCTTACCGTTTAAGTTTTTTTGCTCGCCAAACATGTAAACTACAGATGCATTCGTAATGAAGTTACGGCAGTTAAAAGCTCAACACGCAAGTAAACTTGGAAACTTTATATCGCTTAAAAAGAGATTGATGTTCAATTTCAATTAATTGTTTTTCAATCTTCTTTAATATATTTATTTTCGTGCTGGAAATATGTTTTCGGCTCTTCTTCTTTTCATTAAAAAAATGTGCTTTTTGTTAAAAGCAAGAAATTATTTTTAGAATTTTTGTAAATGTTGATGTTAGTGTTGTTTTTGCTTTTTTGGCTTTTCTTTTCTTTTCTTATTTTTTTTTTTTTTTTTTTTTTTTTTTTTTTTTCGAAATGTATGCGGATTATTTTTAAGAATATTTCAGTTTTACGTTATGCACTATTTTCAAATATGTATATATATATATATATATACATAATCATTTGTGTATATAAATATAAGTACATATATACATTAAAATTAATAGTTCTTCGATATAGAATAAATAAAATTTTTATTCTTTGTTTAATGTTGAGCACGTTCTTCTCTTTTTTCTTTTAGCCTTTTCTAGATTAGAAACTGCTTCAATTCTTTTTATTAATAATATTTCTGAATAAAAAACGATTCCAGCGCCTCTTTGTTTTCTATTAAAATGAGACGGTATTACTTTAACTGACGGCCAAATATTTTTTAATTTTTTTTTTTAATTTTTATTTTTATATTTTTTTGATAGGAAAAAAAATGTTAATGTGATATAAATCTGAAATTCACACACCGAATAACTAAGTATTTCTAAACAAAATTTATGAAAAATCAAAACAAGTGAACAAAGTACTAATATATCCGGTTAGTTCGAATATTAAGGCGCTACCATCAATCAGATTATTAAAAAAAAAAAAAAAAACTTTTCAACATTTTAACAATAGAAGAAGCCTAAGTGTCGAGGCGCCTCCTGAAAAAGACAGCTTTTCCTTTATATCAAGACGTTTTTTTCACATGCTATGGCACTATAGTCATATTCAATTGTAATCTATAAACTGAAAAAAAGAAGAAGCTTGAAGAAAACATATCAAATATATGTTAGGTAAGGTGTTAATAAGTCGAATCGTACCGTGAACGTTGTACTCTCTTGTCTCTTGAAAGACAAGAGAAATGAGCTTTTTGAGATCCTGAAAAACTTGTATAAAACATTTTTCTTAAGAATAACATTTTCTAAGTATTTTATTGAGGGAAGGGTCTTTCATTCACACTCTAAGTAACAATTTTGAAAACAGAAGTGGCAAACCTCTTTTTCCCCATGTAATTGTCTATTCAAGCTAAAGATCCCTAAATTTAGATCAAAGCTTATTTTCTATACTCAAGTGCGGTAGAGTTTTTTAATAAAAGCCGATAGCCCTAGATGCTAGTGCTTTAAGACTTTAGTCTTAGAATTTATTCTCTGGCTAAATTTATAATAATAATAATAATAATAATAATATACTATATTAATGAAGCTATAAGAGCTTTTCAATTCCAATTTTGAGCATAGGTTTTGATGTCTGCCGCAAAATTAATTACCCTCAAAACAAACGACATTACATATGTTTTGGTCAAGGTTTATTAAGAGGGGAAAAAAAATTTTTTTTTTAATAGTTTAAGAGAAAAAATTTCATTAATTGAAGGAAATATAATCAATGAATTTTTAGGTTTTCTCAAGCGTCGCGAAAAAGGCTGCCCGTGCGAAACGAATCCAGGGTGGGACAATCGAACTTTTTTTACTTGTTGATTTCTAAGTTTTCGGGTACACTAACAGAAACTCTTGGAAGGTATTTATGTTCTTTTAATAGAATTTCTAAACAAAAATGCACTAGTGCATATCACCAAGGCCAACTCAAAAGATATCAATGCACAAAAAAATAAAAGTTTGATACAAAGTATATCATATCTATGACTAATGCTTTAAAGAAAGAAAATGAATCAGAATATCTGAAAAAGGCAGGACATTTTCATGCAAGTTAACGTAAACCAAGTGAGATGGACCACAATTAAAATCTTTAGCGCCCCATCCTTTTATTTATGGTTAAAAAAAAATGAATTTGGTCAAATTTATCTTCTACTTTTAGTTCACAAAAATATGTTGTTAAGAAAAAAATAATTCGTCGTAATTAATTCAGAATTAACACACCTAGCTTGTCGTCTTCAACTCCCCAAGTCCTTTCATTTGATATCCATATCGATTGTATTATGAAAAAAAATTAAACCACCAGGTTCGGGATGTTCACGATATTTATTTTAGAATTAAGACAATTTTAAATATTTTGTCTTGTTTACCTTATGATTAATAAGCATCAGAAAACTTAAGATAAGATAATTTACACATACACACCCACCCACAAGTTTGTGCGGGCATGTCGGATTTTTTTCCATTTTTGTACATAAGTAGTAGAGTTTTCGGTAAAGTAAATGCACTAAATTCCTGCCTTCTGTCTTTCATAGTTTGTGAGCGAAAAACCAAAAATTTTTACTTAAAAAAAAGGGTATTGCGTTCAATTCACGCTTTATTACGGGCGTGTTCTCTAACCAATTTAGCTCATTTTCATTGCCAACCTGCGTGCAAAGACTTCCAATGTTTTTACCAAATTTGAACTCGATATCTTCATTTCTACGACCAGGAAAATATCGACAACACACACCAAACAGACACACAGATCCGTAGACAGGACAGGCTTGGGTTAATCAACTCAGTATTTCATGCTTTTCAAAGTTTTAAACGTGTGTTCGACGTAATACGATTCTAATTTTTTATTTCTAATCGAAAAATGAAGCAAGAAAATGTATGTAAATATTTTGATATTTCACATAAAGGACCAAGCTGTAAACTAGACGGGCGTAACACACGTCATGGTTAGATTTTCTTTCTCTTAATGATTTGGAAAATTTTTTGTAGGACATGCTAGACAGAAAGTTTAAAGGAAAATCAATATATATACCAAATTTCATCAACATATCAACATAAAGATTGCATTGCACAGGTTAAGCAAAAAAGCATATTGACAGACGAGCAGACAAGCTCGGACCGATTCAGAGAGGGTTTCCGAATTTATCGATCTAGAAGAAGGCGAGTTTGTCTCAAGGTCGTTGAATGGATATGAGGGTGAGAGCGATTCGGGAGCGTTCACTGCTTCTGCAAAAAATCACAAGTTTGAGATAATTGTCTTGCTATTAGCTAGGAAATCAACGATAAAATAATGCATTTTTAGCCGCGTTCATCATAATTTCCCAGCATATAAAGCATAAAATATGCCACTCTATCCTCTACAGGTGATACAAAAGAGCTTCGTTCTAGCATAAAATCTTCGAAGAGAGGAAACGAAGGAGAATGTTTAAAGATAAAAGGATTGCAGAGTGTTGGCAAAAAATAGCAAAGTCTTTATTTCGATAAAAAAATATGTCCCCGACACATTTCAAACCCTTAACGCTTTGCACTTCTACGCCGACTATAGGTCGATATTGTATTTTTTACTCCAATCCCTATATCAACATAGAGTCGACATTTGATTCTTACAAATTAATAATTACGAAGTTTGTGATAGGTGAAAGAGATATTAGAGGTGAAAAGGACGAAGAGGGTTTTTCTCAAATCACGTTGTTTCCGCATGCGAAAATAGGGCTTTTCATTACGTTACCTGGAAACCTATTTATTAATTGAAGAAATTGGGCTTATGGCTTAAACACTCGATAATCGTACAAAAGTACTTTTTACCCCCGTAGATGTGTGTAGATGAAGGAATTTTTATTCTCTTTTCAGATTCAAATTTGGACCGGTTACAGTGCAAGCCTCAAAGATATATATGCCTGGCGACAGTTGCTTTAACTCTGCGATTTTTCTTAAGCACTTCGCAATACGCCTAATATGACCTAATCGAATATTATTATTTTATTACCGTTGCTTTCATCCCAAGAAAATCATTCATTAATACCTTGAACCATCGCGCATACCTTGTAAGTAAGAAATAAATCAAGCTTTCTTTGAGCCGATATACTGATAGCGCATATAAAGATTTCAAATCATATTTTATAAATCCGCATCATTTATTAATGATTTCTTGTAAGTCCCTTCCCATTTTAGATTCGATTCAGCTCATTTACGTCGTTAAGCCTAATTTAAGGCCAAGTTTCAGGAATAATGAAATAAAAAAACAAAAAATGGAATAATCAAGTACACTCTCTCTCTGAGAGAGTCTTTTTCAAAAACTTTGTGTTATCAAATTGCAGTTTTCTGCATCAAATTTTTCAATCTCTTTTTACACGATAAATACGTTCCCAAAAAATTCGCGTAAAAAGAGATATTGGTCAAATGGAGAAATAATAGATAAGTTCCAGATCTAAAAAAGCTACTGAAAGGTACTATAAGCAATATAAAAAACTCTCATTAGAGTTCATCTCTAATATTCACCTTTACTCTACGGGGAATCCCACGCATATACCCAAATAATCGGCATAATAGGCGAGTGAGAATGAAAAAATTCATATAAAGAGCAAAAAAAAAAAAACCAAAAAAATTCATGAGAAAAATTCGTAAAAAAAATTCATACAATATTGAAATCGTCTCTTTTTCATCTGTTGACAAAGAGGCATACACGAGTTGTGTTTCCATTAGTAAGGAAAACACTTCAGGGTTTTAAAAATTTTTTAATTCTTTACTTTAAGGTTATGTTAGAATATTTATTTTTTTACTATTTTAATGAATATTTTAAGTTTATTTAACTTCCTTATACTTATTGACACACTACACTAGTATTATTCTATTATTGTCATCGAGTGACAATAACTTCTATTATTTTCCTCACCTCACCGCCAAATTTACTAATAATATTTTTGTTTAGTTTATAAATTGAATATGCAATAAAAACAAAAAAAAGTCGTGTCAGATTCGGCGACTCGAGCTTCACTACAATGATATTTGCAGCCGACGTTGTAATTGCCTTGCGAGAGGGTAGAAGAGAAGATAGCAAACAAAATGCTTAAATGATTTTTTAAAGAACGAAAGAAAAACTTTTTAAAAATTCCCGATAATTTATAATAGATTTGCCGGAAACTTCTATCTGTTCTTCCGCGACACTCTGTTTTTACTCATCTAGTGCTCTACTCTCGAATGAAAACGAAGAAGGTTTGTATGAAGTGTTTGCGTATCCAATGACCATTCATAAAGTTCATTTACGCCACTGCATGAATTCCAACAAGGCAGAAATGGTACGAAAGTGGAAAGATACTTACTTACTGTTTGGTGAAGGTACAATTTCTGATAGAACAGGTGGAAGACGGTTCGAAAAATTTTAAATAGGTGTTGTCGACCTTTCTCATAAACTATGCTCTGGGTGAGCATCTTTCATATGCGACGATACTGACAATACCCATAATAAACGAGGAAATTCAAGGTCTAACAAATGTCAATGAGTAGCTCAAACATGTGTGTCCAGTCAGCCTCCGCTGTCAGAGAGAATTATTTAATAACGACAAAGTTATGTTGTATCACAGACTAGCCCTCGGTAACTTGTGAACACATTGATCTGCATTAGAATAAATTGGAATAAAAATTTTATCGTTTGAATATATTAGTGAACCGGATTGAGACCGTTTCTGAACCGAACGCGCAAGTGGTTCCGGCTTTTTGGAAGTTGTGGTCACATTTTAATCTATTTTGGTCATGGTATGGAAATTCCAAAGTCGTTTTTAATTGATCTTAAAATGTCTGAGCCAAATTTCAGCTTTTTGTCTCCATCTTTGCGAATGTGGCAATTCGACAAAGATTATGGGTCAATTTGAGCCACTTTAGTAGAAACAGATGTAAGCAAACCGTGGGTAGTTCTACTGCTGGGTTGATCTTGATGCGAACAACATAGTTTTAAATCGTCGAAACTTGGTGTAAATTTAAATGCAAAAACAAGTACACCAATGTTTCTTTGCTTTTTATCCCTACTTGTGATACAAGGATATGTTCAGCATCTATAAGGGCTTAAGGGCTTATTATACAGACCGGTTTAGTATCATTTCCTGAGTCGGTTTAGACTTGTCTAGTTCTCTATTTGTCGGTCTACTTGTCCGTTTATTTCTTTGCCTGAGCTCCACATTTCGTGTACTAACCTGTTTTGGGATAAGAGCGACCGCATTGAAAATGGACAAAATCGGACCATTTTTCTGATCACTTTTTATATAACACCTCAGTTTGAAAAAGTGGCTATATGAAAAAAATTTGCAATTTACGAAATTTCTTGACGAAGTTTTCTAAGTAAAAATTCTACTGCATGCAAAATCGATTTGGAAAATTAGAATTAGATGTCAAGCAAAATTAGCCGACGTAATATATGAATTTATTTTTGTATACCCATCACCGAAGAATGGGCGTAAATTCATCCAGCAGGAAGCTTTAGAGACCTTATAAAATATATACATTCTTGACCAGAATCAAACTTTAAATCAACTTAAATATGTCTGCCCCTATGTCAATGTAATATCTTTGGTAAATATTTTCACGTTCGCAAAACTAAAGTTATCGTTTTCACATTTCGCAAAAAGACATGAAAACGGTCAATAGACACGCCTACAATGCAGCATAAGCTTCTGCTCTTTGGACACACATTGGACATGCGATGAAAATTTCGACATGTAAGTTAAATGAAACAAAGTTATTTGCTTAAGTACTTAACAGCAACCCACTGATAAGAGTAATCACCCACGCCCATCCGACATTACAGAAAATGAAAATTTAACTTTTTCTTGTCTCTTCAATGACGAGATTGATGAGTACAAAGGATTCAATCACAGTCGAATATAATTTTCTTGCTTATTATAGTTAAATTGAAACATTATTTGGGTATAATTTGATATAAAAAATTTAACTGATTATAAAAGAGAACGTTTCAGTTGAAATGAATACAAAGGGTCGGATATCTGAGTGGATGAGCATTTAGTTAAATGTACTTTAAGATCTGCTTTAGTGAATCTATTTCGAGTGAAGGCATCTGCGCTAAATACATTGCCGCACCTTAGTTGCAAATACAAGCGATTCTGTTGCAATTTCGAATCTATTTTTAAGACTGTCATTCTCGGTTTGGTATCTCAGCTGTTTTAATTAAAAAGATAGATATGTAAACATATATAAGCACATAGTTAATTTCTGCAGCAAAGTGTAAGCGTAAGGGTTCATTTATTTAAAAATATTTAAAAGTTAAATTAAATTTTCAAAAACGTATTTCAAAAATTAATATGAAAATAAAAATCTTCTTTTTATAAATTTTTTATTGGAAGTGATGTCTCTTTAATAAAATAAATACAAATTATTTTCAGTTAACTTTAGTGTTCTCGTTGCATAACCAGAGAACAATGGCTTTACCCGAAAATTTGGCTAAGAAAATGCAAACATTTCAGGTATCGATCTCAACTTTAATATATTGTTCAAATCATTGAATTGTATCTCTTTTCCATCCTCTAGGCAAATAATAATTTGCCTGTATTCTTAAAAGGTGGCCCAGCCGATAAAATGCTCTATGGTATAACTATGGGACTTTGCGGTGTGGGTCTTTTGGGCATTGTTAAACTACTCTACGATTTGGGATTTAAGAAGAAGCAGGGCTAACTTCAAAACTAGCTCATTATAATATGGTTTAGAAATGAAAGTAAACTTTGATAAATTTCCAAAATTTAATTACATTTAGTGTAAAATGTTTTATGCCTTGAACTTGGTGCTTTGAAAGAGTTAATTAAAAGGAAAGTGGGAAGTCATGTTAATATTGTTCCACCCATGCAACGGTTAGATAGATGAATTAATGACGACATTTGTCTTGAAAAGAAAAAAGATCGTTAAAAACGGATCTAATAATTCCTTTCTCTATGTTTTGGGTTCTTTTATTTAAATAAACGCCTTTAAGATCCACATGTATTGCCAGACAGGTATAAAATTGATTTCAAAAAATCGCAGTCTCCTTAAAGCTTATACTTTTAATAGTCTTAAGTTACTTCGAAAATTCAAAATAAATACTTTATTAATTATAGCAGAATATATTTGATAAAGCGAACCCAGAGATGCATAAAAGGTAGTAGAGATAAAGTATTGTATTTTATTTCTTTTTTTTCATTCTGAAGAAAATATAAACGCAGTGGTGCAATGAATTAAACGTAAGAAAATTTAGCTTTCGTGTTTGTTTCTCAGCTGCTTTACGTACAATTCTGTTTACCGGTATTTTTTTTGCGTTATTATCGCAAAACAACCCGCAAATAACCTTTCCCATTTATAACAAATTAGAGGAAAATGAAAAAGTTAACGTGTTACTTTAGATTTGCATATTTACAATAAGAGTTATCATGAAAATTTCTTTTAGAGCTACGTTTATTAGGAAGAAAAGGTTATAAAAGAAAAATAAAAACAAAACATTCTTTTCTATTTTATTACTTATCGTAATGGGTAAGAACAGGGACTGTCAAGTCAGTGTGCGCGGATTCAAATCTCAAATATGGTAGTTTTCTTTGATCACGACTATCGTGAGTGTTCACTCGTTAGAGGCATCACACTTGTCGATTGGGCACATATCCACTATGCTTCGTCCACCACTTACCAATTGTACTTCACTACTTCTTCTTGACATTCACCGCCATATATAAATAGGGGAGATCCTCTGGGTGATTTGTCATATTAAAAAAAAATTTTTTTTACCAAAAGAAAACTTATAAGACTTCTTTTAAGAAATCTGTGAACACTTTAGTCCATTTGAAAGAAAGTAAAATGGCTATCGGCAGTCGCAAATGTATATAAACGTGAATTTGTCTGTCTTTTCAAGTTTTTCGTTTATGAAAAGTTTACGAAAAGTTTACGAAAGTCGTACATAAAACAAGAGAAAACGAAAATCAACTTTCGTCTTTCCGAATATACATTATTTAAAAGACACGTAATCATCCCTCTGAACAAGCCGTATGGTGTTTTTTAAAAATTTTGTTAACCTTTCAATTTCTCCTATCCTATAATCTGTAAAGTTTTTAAATTTTTTACATCTTTTAAATTTTTCTATACTTTCCATTAGAAAATTTATAAATTTATATATTCTTATAAACAGTTTAGAGGAGAAGCTTTTGTCGCTTAAAATCGAAAAGACTTCGAAAGAAGTAAATCGACTTCGAATGTATTGAAAAAAAATATACTCTTAATTTTCGAAAACAACGACAATCTGCCTTTATACACAGCCATGATCGCTAAGAAGCTGCAGCTGACAGCCTATGAGGAATATTAGGCTACTATGCATACAAACGTTACCTAAGGCCCGCGGAAACGGACGGTCGGTAATGTGATAACATATTATTTTGAGTTTAGCAAAGTGTTGGCAGAAGGCGGTATAGGTGCTGGACCAGCTGCTATAATCAGTTGCTATTGTTTAAAGCCCATTTGTGTCGGAATATCCAAGTGTACATATATAATATATATTTATATATATATATATATGTATATATATATTTATATATATATTTGTAGGTTGCTGGATAGACAAAGTGAACTTGTAGAAATCCCAAAATAAAATCTGGGGTTGCCTTTGCTTTTCATTATTATTCTGCACAGCCAATCACAAAAATTTTCAAATGAAAGGAAGGACGTTTAAAACGTTCCAAAATTGCGTGAAATTTTTCTTTTATATAAGACCCATACATACATGTATGTCTCTGAAAAGAGCAAAGGCTTTTGTGGTGCAATAAAATACAACTTAATAAAGTGTACTGCTATAAAAGATTTGTAGCAATGATTCAGTACTTTATCAACCTATAAAAGAAACACTTATAAGCTATCATATGCCAGCGAGCAAAAGAATGGTGCTTCTTTTTATAAGTAATTAAGTTAATCACTTTCTTTAGCTGCCGAATTACTACAAAACCATTGGTAGTAAATTTTAAGACAGAGTCTATTTCAATAAACAGTATTCGCGCAACCATTCCAGACTAAAGACTTACAATTAAAGGTTACGGAATAAACAAGAAAGAGGAAGAAAAAAACGTAAGAGAGAAAAAGTGAAATAGCGAAATATAATAACATAGAGCATGGTTGCATTTATTAACAAGTAAGTAAGAGAATTGAATTTCATTATCTTTTTGTGCAGTCTACTAGATTAGTTTTATTGTGTAACGACTCCAATTCATATATATATGCGTTTAAATAGATTTTCATTGAGCGGTACACTATGTTCTTTAAAACTTTATTGACAAAAAATGTAGTTAACTCAAATTTGAATAGAAAACTTAATAAACTGATGAATCCATATGAATGTTTTTGCAGTAATGGTGGTTCGCAAATTTTGGAAGACAAAAGTATCTTTCCGGATTTTAAAAATGGGCCTTTACAGCATTACCGCGACAAGTCTTCGTTTTGTTACAAACGCATGAACATCTTGTTGGAGGGTGAAGATCATATACGTTTAAAGGTAAATTTTATATATGGTAAAAATTGACATATAAAGATTAAAGTCCATTAATTTTTGTTTTACTACGAATAAGGCGCAAAAAGTTCCAAATTAATTTAATCTACTGCATAAACGATGTGATAAATTGTAATTTGCAAAAATGTTATTCGACTTTCTCCCAATGTCTAAACTGATATGTATGCAGAAAGTAAATGATAATAGAATGATTGATATATATTTAAGCTGAATTTTTTTTTTGCTCAATTATAACGCGATTTTTAATTTATTAAAGCTTAGTATTTAAATTAGCCCGTTTTGGCCATAATAGGCAGGAAGTCACCAATGCTTAATTAATACGTTCTTAAAGTAGCATTATTGATTGGCTTGGTTTTTCCCTTAAAGATGTTGCGATCGTTTCGTTAATCAATACTACGCGTGCATTCAAGAGCCTTCATTAGGAAAGCGCACAGATATTCTTTTTAAGTTCATTCGATATTTCTGTCCTTCTGCAGCATAGTATTTGGCAGTTTATGGAAAATCATGCTGATTTTCAGCATGAAATCGAGACACCCACGTTAGATCGTATGCGTCAGATCGCAAGCAAGCGATCAAAAGTTTTGCATTCAGCTGAACTCTATGGTTTTAAGGAGTACGTGACTAAGCCGCATTTAAGCGTCGCGTTCTCTCAAGCTATCTGCAGCTACGACGTTAACTTTTCCATCAAATATATTCTATCTAACGGCATGGTTCCTTCGGTAATCATGTCTTTGGGAACGGAACGTTTACATGATTATGTCGTTAGAGGGGTTCAAGGCGAAATTAGATTTGCTTTTGCCTTGACCGAAATATCACATGGCACCAATGCAAGAGGTATGCGTACTCAGGCCACATACGACAAAGAAAGTAGAGAGTTCATTTTGCATACTCCTGACTTTGAAGCAGCTAAATGCTGGGTGGGCAATTTGGGCAAAACTTGCACTCATGCTGTTGTATATGCTCAACTTTATATACCTGACAATTGTAATCGTGGATTGCATGCTTTTCTAGTGCCAATACGAAATGAGAAGACTTTAAATGCTTATCCAGGAGTTACTGTAGGCGATTTAGGTGAAAAGATTGGATTAAATGGTGTCGATAATGGGTGAGTACAAGGTCTACAAAATTGGAAAGCTTTTACTTAACCATTTCTTTTTATTGCTCATCTAATAGATTTGTCATGTTTAATCACTATCGAATACCGAAAGAAAACTTATTGTCTCGTAATGATGATGTAGACGAAAACGGGAATTATCACAGTCGCATTAAGGATAATCGGAAACGATTAGGGGCCTCTTTAGGAGCTTTGTCAGGCGGTCGAGTAAACATATGCTCACTAGCCTATATAAGCCTAAGTAAGGCGGTGAGTATTGCCATAAGATATTCAGCTAGCCGTAAACAATTCGGTCCAGACGACAGTGTGGAAGAGTATCCAGTACTTGAATACCAGACTCAGGTGCGGGCAATTTTTATAAATAGTAAACACCTATTTTGGATGCTTAAGATATTTTATATAGCAATTTCGTCTGTTTCCTCATCTGGCCGCAAGTTACGCGTTGCGTATCTTCAGCATGTGGTTGTGCTATCATAACGTCGATATGACTACAAAGGCAATGAATGGAGAAGATACTTCTTTAGTTGGAATGGAAATACATGTCATGTCTTCAGCTTGCAAGCCGATTTGCAGTTGGATTTCTCGCGATGGTATACAAGAGTGTCGAGAAGCTTGTGGTGGTCACGGCTATTTAAAATGCGGTCGCCTAGGCGATTTGCGCAATGAAAATGATGCAAATTGCACGTATGAAGGTGAAAATAATACTCTAATACAACAAGCTTCCAATTGGTTGATTAATTTGCGAAGACAAAATATAAATTTTGAGGAAAATTCTCCTTTAACGTCGGTAAGCTTTCTCAAGGATATGGATTGGCTATTATTAGAGAAAGCTAAGGTGCGAACACCTGACGAAGCTATGAAACCAGAAAGTAAGTTTTTGCTGACTTCAAATTTTCCATTAATTTCATAATTAAAAAAATGTCTTAAAAGATCTATTGCAAGCGCTAAACTGGTTGTGTGCCTATCAGTTGGAAAAAGCTGTCAGGCGTAGCGTGCACCTTACGGAACTAGGCTTAAAGTCTTTTGAGTCTCGCAATGAAATGCAAGTCTTCAATGCACAAACATTGGCTATCGTTTATGGAGAAGTAAGCTTTCGTTTCTCAGAAATATTAAGTTTTTTTACAAAAAATATTTTACATATCCGCAGCGAACGCTGTACTATGCCTTCTTCAATTTTGTTCACGAATTGCCAGAATGCGCGGAGAAACATGTTTTACAGAAATTGCTTTCTCTGTTTGGCTGCAATTTGATAGTAAAACATGCTGGTCTTTTCTACATGGGCGGCTATTTTGAGACGCAAAAACTCGATTTATATCATCAAGCAATTCTTCTTCTCCTACACGAGATAAAACCAGAAGCTGTTTCGCTCGTGGATGCTATAGCTCCTCCTGATTTCGTTTTAAATTCCTCCCTGGGCATGAGCGATGGCAATGTAAGAAAAAAATTTATATACATGCTATTAAATTCGTTCGACATTTAAAACGTATAAGAATGGACAAACAACTGTGTTGTTATATCAAATACCCGATGATAGAACAAAAACTATTGCATTACTTAAAATCATCCTCATATTTGCTGAAATTCGAGAGAAAGTAATGGCATAATTGACTGTTTATATTACTTAGTAGATTATGAAATAATATGAGAAAAGAAGTTAATCTAACTGGCGCAATTAGGATAAACTCCTAATATCATGCACCATGTTTTTGTAAGCAATTTCCAAACACACTAGTTGCACAATGAATTATATATCTAATCAATTTTTACATTTCCTCTTTTTACGAATTATCGATCGTTGTTTCTTTACTTTTAGGTTTATCAACATTTGCAGAATTTCATTATGTCAGCACCGGGAGTATTTGAACGGCCAGATTGGTGGCGTGAAGTTATCTACAATAGCAGCGAAACAAAATCTAAACTATGAACAAAAAATGAACTAAGCGTAAATGTTTAAGTAAACTTTTGTATTTATAAAACACTTCTAGGTATTGGCTTCTGAGTTATGGTTGAATTTTTTATCGAAGTGCCTCATTTGTTTTTCTTGTATTAAAAATGTTGGAATAAAATAATAATGCTTGTCATTGGTTACAGTGATCACTCCTTCTAACCTTTTACACTATTGCAGTCACGTCTGCAGAATTCCTTTAGTTAGAAAGAAGTGATAGGAACAATTTGTACACTGGTCTCTTCAGTGGCTCTAAAACAAAGAGATTTACATAGATATCCCTTAAAGATTCTTAGTAACATTTCCTTATATAATCGCTATATTTATAAGGGGATCGCGTCAAACAACTCGCAGCAGTTTTACTGTATTTCGTCGAAATGAAAAATGACAAATTCATTCGTCGTTCACTTCTCTTCTAAGAGACATCATGATTTACATATAACTGCGGATGACTTCGCGTAGAGTGGAAACAGGTCGTCCAGCCATCAAAACTACTTATGAACAACCTCAAGAAACAGGCATTATTAATTTTCTTGAGTGACCGAAGGAATAGTGTGATAATTGCTTGATTGAGTTATCAATTAAGCCAGCTTAATTGATTTCTGTTTTTTTGTGCGCTATTTAAAAAAAAAAAAGAAAAAACCTCATAGATCGTAGATATTGGTAAAGACTTTTTACGATTGTTACAATGCATTTGCTGCACGCATATGTGGGACGAAGCTTCGAGGATGAATATGTACGCTTAATTTCTGTCGACCTGTTAAAGCTTAAAAAGAAGGTACACAGGTGCGTAGGTAATTTCAAAAATTTTTCATTTGATTTGCACTATTGTGATCAAAGTCGTACATCATTTGCAATATATACGTATCAGCTGCGAGATTCGAATACTCTTTCACAATGAGGAGGACACTAGATTTCAAGGTTAGTTTCAGGGATTAACATGCTGCGTTTGTTGCTTGGGTTTAATTACGAAGGGATCGTCCACCCTAATAAGCAAAATAGCGCCGTTAACAACCTGGAAGGTAAATCGTTATCATCTAAAAATGAATCAATGCACATTAACTTGTAATCCAAAGCAATAAAATCTCACAGAACTTGTATAGTATTCGTATAGACTAATAGAAGGTAAATTTAAAGGTCCCTCCGAATTGCGCCAATTTTCAAAATAGATCATCAATGTGAACAAATGCACGGACCCAGCAGTTGAAGTTGCATAAAAATGAAAAACAGCTGTGATCAGTTCCGTGGATTTGCAAAATAATCCGTTGAAGTTGCGTGGAAATGAAAAAAAGCTGTAATCTGTTCCATGGATTCAATGTATTTAGCCATATTCATATTAGTTGTACTTCTATACTTTCTTCTAGCAGTGAGATTAATTTCTAAAAACAGTGATAACCTACTTAAAGCTTGTATTTTTAAAAGGGTTAGGGTTCTCACACAATTTAAAAAAATGCATATCCTGATAACGGTACCATCAGGTTATGTTTCATAATATAAGCGCAGAGATGCACAGAGCGTAGTAGGACTAGTTTATGTTGTTCTTGTCAATTCGAGAAAATTTTATATCACTCTTTATATATTCAGTGTTGCAAAAGATTCTTATATAAAGACAATGAACATCATTTATTACGTGAAAGAACGGAAAACGAAAAGATTTGAAATGGCTGGTAGCTGCTTAATATTCTTAAATTAACTTTCGCGTGCACCGCAATTCTGATTCGTGATTAAAAAAAATAATTGGACTCAAGGGTTGAGAAATTCCAATCAAAAGACGGTCGACGTTGGGGCAATTTGATAATAGTAAACCACAAGGGTCAAGTTTTTAATGCCCGCGAGCACTTATTATCAGCTCAGCATGGTGTGGCTAAGACTATTTATGTTCAATGTTTTTTATCTAATTCCGACCAATTAACAATGAGGACTAATATCACAAGAGGAAACATAGCTAACTACTGCAAAATACCAAAGACGGAATCGGTAATTTGTAACTTTGTTAAACGTAAAGTCGAGGACTTGTACGTTCGTAACAAACGCGATAACCACATGTTAGATGCGATGCACAAAGCTTCTGTTGAAAAGATGAAATCAGCATCGTCGGTGAACATCACTAAATATGTAGCATCTATACCATAGGTAAACATATATAATGTTTACGTTTTTCCAATTTTGAATAAATGCATTTACTATATATGCCAGCAGTCAAACGAAATGTTCTCTACTGAAAGTACACTTTCCAAAATAAATGCGTATTCTTATCAAACGCCTATTAACTTCCCGTTCTCATCGAACGCCGACAAACAGGTAAATTCTTTAGTTTTTAAGAGGAAAAGAGATTTTTATTTTATATATTTTATTTTAAATCGCATGCGACAGAATTCTCCTAAAATCAAAATTATTTCGTAGGATTTGAGCGTGACTGTTACAACAAATCAGGATGAGGATCCGAAAATTTTCCCGCGGTTCAATGAGATGAACCAAAACGATCTTAAGAAGGTAATTATATATGAAAAGTGTCTCTGTTATATTTTAAGTTACGCTTTCTCTTTTATGAATTTTTCGTTTTAGAATAATCCGTCTTCTTATGATAATTTTGCTGCGATATGGACAGACATCAGTATAATACCTTGAGCCCTTCTGCGTGTTACATACGACTGCATTAACTTAAAACAGTCTGTTCCACAAGTTTTGCAGGGTACAAAAACGAATCATACTCTCAACACAGTGAATTATACGATGTTGATCTTCTGCCTTGAAGAACAAGAAGAAAAGAAGAAAAGAAACTACACTTTACAGAATCGTACTTTATATATAAAATTTCAATTTCATCAAATTGTGTTCCTAGCACACGTAAGCTTACTTACGATAACATTTTTCAATCTTCGTTGTGTTTTCTCGTTACTCTTGTATAAAAGTTTGCTGCATTTGAATACTTTGGCAACTCTTTCTCGTGTATACAAATGTCAAAATGTAAATATATACATATATATATGGATTTTTTATGTGATATTTTTTTGTTTGTTTGACGTTAAAGTTTTAGAATTTTGTTACAGGAGTTAATAAACAAAAAATTATGAAAAACATTATTTTGAAAACCGATATCCGTCTAGTAGTATACAAATTTTCTTTGCTGATTGAAAGAAAATGAAGTGAATTTGTAAGAAGATATAAATAAAGAGAATTAAAAAAAACTGTAACTTTTGTCTCGACGCAATTTTAAAAACACAAAAAAAAAAAAAACAACCTAAGCAATTGTTAAATCTCAAATGGAACAAAACGATGAAGTAGTTGAACGCCAAAAGTTGGTAGATGTGGAAACAGAGGAAGATGTAACCATTAGTGCACCTAAGTCCGTACAGACTCCCGCATCACCAGTTGCTGTAGTACCCAAAATCAGTGTAAGCTAATTGAACTTTGCCCTAATAATGGTAAAGGGAATAATTTGTATTGGTTTTTTTTTTTCTTTATTTTTTTTTGGCAGATTAAAAGCATTTCAAGTGGCGATACTACACGCAGTCGTAATTCGGCTTCGTGTTCCATAGAGAGAACAATCACTTCTGACAAGGTTGGGCAAACCTCTGCTAAAGTTACGTATGTTAATGAACGACGACAACGTCCACATTTGCATGGTACTGCCGATGAACGTTTTGAGTTCAAATCACGTCCTAGAAAATTACTTAAAGGTATTTTTCTTCTTTTTTTTTGCCTTTTATTGAGAAGTCAATGTACACCTAAACATCATGTAGACTTTCATTTCTGTGAAGAGAGTTTTTTGGTGTTGGTGCTTTGTTCGCGTTCTTTGTTTTCTTTTTTCGGTTTAATTGCAGTCGCTGAGGGCGTGTCTGGTGTTCAATGTTACCTCAAAGTTCATTAAAAAAAAAAAAACATCCATTTTTATCATTGGCTTTTTGCATTTTTTGCTCTTGTTTCTTTTCTTATGCACTTTTGTTAGACGCATTTTGTTTTAAATTCTATTCTCATTTCATTCATTCTTAGATTCACAAAAGACATATGTTTTGTTTCTTTAAACTACATCCAGTTTTTTATATTAATTTCGACAATCGTATCTAATTAGATCTTTTATGTTATTTAGTTATTTCCTCTTTAAGTAAAAATTTAGTAGAGAATAGTAAATCAAACCTGTCTGTTTTAAAAAATATTGATCCTATATAAGATCTATAAATTTTCATGGAAAGAAAAATTACAAATAAGGAAGAAAGTCTTATTTCAATCCAGCTACTTGGTGAATATTCATCAGCTCGAGTAAATACATGAAAATTCAACAAGATTTTATTAGTAGTTGGACTTCGCTATTTCTAGGAGAGATTTATATCGAATTTCAAATCAACTATATCTCTAAAATAAGTGGCTTTTTCAATGTTTTCCCTTATCATTCTTCTAAGTAATTGAATTGAAAATATAATTTTTAGTAACGCTTCTTAGCAAAAGCGCTCGTAAGAAGAATTCATTCTAAACCGAAGGCTGTTCTTTGCAAATTTTCAATTTACGTACATTATCCAAATACTTGTAAAGCTATTTTATATTTTATATTGCTGTTTGCCAAGTAAGTTCTCGCTTAATAGGCACTTATCAGATTGTTCATAAACGACTTTTTTTCCATTTGTATTGCTGTGCAAAGTTAGTACAATTATTTTTAGTTTCCTTGGACAGCTTTGTGCCTTTAGTTGATTGAAACCGCCATTTCATTTACCATGTCGGCGAAAGCAATTAATAGTTAGTAGTGTTCTGGAACGGTTTTCGTTTTTAGCTTTAGATGAGAGCTAAAAAAAAAGAAAAGATTTCTTTTCAAGTTCTTTCTGTGTTACTGTCTTGTTAAGTTCTTGTTTTCAACCGATTTCATGGTTGAATAGAAAAGGAAAGATTGACAATATTGACATTTCATTGAGAACGCTAATATATAAGTAATACGAACTATTCCAGGGGGTCATCGAATTCTAAATTCCTATCTCATTCTGGTTAACATGACCAATTGAAAAAAATGTTGATGAGCTCGAAAACAGTAGCATTGAAAATTTGTGCTGAAATTTGTAAAGGACAGTTTCAGCTGTTATGAACTCTCTTAAGGTATTTCATTTAATTTGATGCTTATATTGTTCAAATTGACGGAGTCGAGAGCGAAACACTCCTGAGCAAAAGTCTACACCAGGCTTCATATTTGTCGCCACAACCGAAAGTTAAAAAAAAAAAAAAAATCAAAACTGCATTTAAAAAGATCTTTGAAGACTTATCAAATCTTGCTCAATTATATTTCTTTAAACCAATCACGCTAAACGAATAACTCTGGCGGAAAGTTATGGTAAACGTCTCATATACATGTCGTCGTACGTGGTAACGTCTCATATTTCTCTCATATTTCGCGTCTATTAATTCGTCGCAACACAGCAACATCGTCGTCTATTTACTTTCAATGTTACCTTTGCAATGCCAGTGTACCGATAAATGACATTATTTTGCATAATGGAAGAAGCGAAGAACTTTTGACTTATGTGATGACCTTCTCTTTCTAGAGAACTAAGTATTACTTGTCACTAATACAACTAAAACTTGTTGATTTCATGTCCAGCATACATTACATTCTAAAAATAACAGACTCACCCACTAGTTGTAGATTTTATGAATCATTCAACCGCAATGTCTTTTAAAAGCCATGAATAATAACGCTATGAGCATGTATGTAGTTTTAGTCGAATTTCAAACAGCTTCTTTCGCACTTACCAAACTTAATCTAATATGCTTGACATGTGCCCTACAAGTAATATTGATATTGATATATTACTAAAACGACATAAAAAGACGGAAGAATTCCACTTTTCTTACAGCATTTCTTGAAGCGAAAAGTACTGCATCATAAGAAACTTAGTTTGAATAAATTAGGTTAAGAAATAATCTTTTTTCTTTGAAATTTGCGAAGAGAAGCGAAAAAATTGTACCATAAGTAGTAGTTACATCTATCATGCTAGTCCTTGCGTACGAATTATCTCCGATCGAAAGTTTATTGTGCACACGTAGCCGTCTGCTAAGTAGGTCGCAATTTTTCAAAGGCAAACTAAAATGCGATGACTAAGCGAAGCCAATCAAAGTTAACATTGGCGCCGTATAACACACGGGAGCTTAAAGAGAAAATAAGAAAATTAATTAAAAAAAAAAAAAAAAAGGATTCTAAAATAAATCGCTTAACATTGCTTTGTTTTCTGTTCATTTAGAGTTTAGTTATCTATCTTTCAATTAAATTGCTATTTTTTCAAATTCTTCTGTCTTTTAGTTAAATAATTTAAATTTATATTATTTTATTTTTTATCATTAACTTTTTTTTTTCATTTGTTATACAAAATAATATATCATCTGTAAAATATCAAACGCCAACATTTTCACAAACAAACAAAAAAAAAAACAAAAAAACAAATATACAAAAAAAAAAAAAAAAATAAAATCACCGCCACTACCACAAATACTCAACTGCCACAATTAAATCAACGACCTTTATCATCGTCACCGTCATTGTCGCAATTAATATGTGCCGCTATGACTACTGACGATGTTGATGCTAATGTTAATGCTGATAACACTGTTGCTGTTGCTGTTCTTGCTACCGTTGATTATGATGTGCGTTTGCATAAAGACAACGAGGACAGCATAAATACAATAACACAATTAAGTAATGAGAGTCCAAGTGATGAAGACAATTGTGTCATAAATGCGCACAAAACACAAAACGTCCAAGTAACCACCGTAACGAAAAGTACTGCAACAAATAGCCTCAACCGCTCATCATCGTTAGCAACGGACAGCAATTTTAGCAATAATAGCGGAAATCATTTAAGCCAAAATAACAGTGGCAGCAATCATCAGCATCAGCATCCGCAACAATATCAACAGATTCGTAGTCAGAGTCAATATTTGGTAAACGAGAATACAACATTAACGAATCGCCGTAAACTCAACGCAACGACGGTGAGTGTGAGTGCCGGCTATCCAGGTCTGATATCGTCATTGAACACCAGCAGCCTTAGTAGCGATAAATTTGATCAACGTCCGATTAAACATCATTCTTTCGTCTCAGAAGTGCCGGATGTTAAACACATGGAACGTGCTCTTTTGGGTCTATTAGATGATTTTCATTCAGGCAAATTAAAGGCTTTCGGTAAGCATAAGTGCAAGCATTTTAATTATGTTTTCATTTAAAATATTATTATACTCTTATTTAATGCAGGCTCGGGCTGCACTATGGAACAGATGACCAAGATACGTGAACAGCAGGAAAGTCTTGCCAAATTGCATTTCGAATTGGCTGCTGCCGAAGAGGATGCCCTTGAGAATGGCAATGATTTTAATGCTGCCAAAGCCCAAGAGAATATGTTGCAACTAATGCAACGTCTCGAGCAATTGTCCATTTCTATTGAACAACTTCAAACGAGTCATACGGGACTCTGAGATTTGCTTACAGCAAGCGCTAGTAATCCGACAGCTGCTACGCGCTTGCTATTAATGTTGTGATCTTTGACAAACTTTCAAATTCAACTTTAATCAATTTCCATTTCATAAATTTTCGTGAATGTGAAATTTGCTATTAACAAGCATTTCATTTTGTTTGTATTGTGTTTATATTGTGGTTTTATTTTTTTTGTACTGCGTATAATTTATGTTTAATTTTAATGTTACTATCGTTAATATGCTCTCTACATATATTTACTCTTATATGGACTTTAAATGGCATTTCCCATCCCATTTTTTTTTTTTTTTATATTATTCAAAAATAAAAGACCTTTGATGTTGTTCTGTAGTAAATAGTAAAGAAAAGATAAATAAGAAAAAAATTACAAAAGAATTTCGATACGTACATACATGATTAATTAAATTAAAAATTAGTTAAAAACATGTAATTAAGAAAAGTTTGTACACAGACGCCAATGTACAACAAATTTCTTTTTTATTTAAATGAGTGAATAAATAATTTTCAATAAAATGTTTAAGGTTAACAATTACATTTATTTTACTCTTATAAAACAAGCTAAGAGATTTTTTTTTTTTGAATATGTTACTGTTCGAGGTAAACGACAAAAAACATTTTATTCGGCTAAGGTTCGCCCTACATCACTTCCCTTAGTATAGTTAGTAGGTTTTTATATGGAAAGATGTCGAAAATTGGGCCAAAATCTTTTCAATAGCGTTCGTCCTTGGGGCAAAATAGGGCGATATATCAAATTTCATCAAATTATTTCAAGGATAAGTTTAGATCGATTCAGATTCTCTTTTTGATTGGTATAATGAAATCTTTCACTTTCTCTACTACAAGTGTTGTAGGGCATACAAAGGGATTAGACATTTAAATAAAATTTCAGCAAACTTTCGTTTCGAAAATCTAGCAGTTATGGCGCTGCTTTCGGAAACCCCTCAAAAAAAAACTACGATTGTTGTGGCGAGGATAACTCACGATATCACAAAGCTCAATATTGTCTCTTATTAGGTGTGTACAGCGCGTGATTGAAGGAAGGATTGAAAACATTTTTTTTTATTCGAATTATATTTAAATAATTCGTTCAAATAATTATCGGAAATTTTGTGAAATATATATTTTCCTGGTAAGCAGAGATAACAGGAAACGATGCAGCCATATCTACTTCTCGCTTGCAATTACTTACTTCATCATTACTTCCTTCAGCCTGTGTCGATTGGCATGCCAATGCGCGATAGCTAATCATATAACCTTCTGCTTTAGTTGGCTTTATGACTAACAATAAAAACTTCTTTCCCCTCTTTTCGTTTCTCGGCGAAAGCGTTGAAGGCCCTTAAATAATTTTCAGTCTGCCATTTGCTCAAAAGTCGTATCTATGAAGCTAAACTAACGTCTCCTTATTTGAAAAAACTTCTAAATAAATATAAACATTTTTCCAGCACTTCCAAGAGCCATTAGGTAAATTAGAAATCAACAACTAAGACATTAACGGTAAGCGATGTTATCCCTTACGATATTAAAGAAAGGCTAAGTTACTTTGAAGAAACGTTGTTTTCAATCCAAACTTTTTTATAATTGTTGACAGAGCAAATTTTATTTACAATATTTTCAATTGATAAGAGATATACACATATATATGATTGGAACGTAACGGAAAGAAGATTTCATTTTCGGTCACGATATTTGCGCCCGTGAACATGCCCTTCAATAGGTATAGTTCAATAGGTATAGCAACGCGGACAAATTGACTTGAGATCTTATAGTAATCAGGAACCCATGCCTACTTCACGGGAGTTCTCATGCATGTTTCTGTATGTTACCAACAATGTTTCGCCCAACTTTCCTAAAAATAACGATTTGCATATCCTTGGCTTAGGTATTTAATGCTATGTAATGGCTCAGATTTCCTACCTGTTTTGTCTTTTTTAAAAACCGGTTGTCAATGTTTTCGTTATTAGATACTAGTAAAACGATTATTTGCTATTATTGATAAAAAAAAAAAGAGACGATTGATAAGTGCATCTTGATCTTGTGCATCCTTACATCTGATTTCTCCTTTCTGTTATAACAATTCTTTAATCATTTCTCATGATAAAGTGCAAACAACTTATTAGAATTGAAAATCTTTTCTAATCCTTTCTAATACATGAGAAAGGCAAATACATGTTTGCAGTTACAAACAATACGCAGCATTGAAGCAAGTAAAGTAAAAATTCTATATGATAGAAAGGCATAAATGTAATCTGCTTTAATATTCAATATCTCAAACTAATATATAAAAATATTTTCAAAGACTTACAGTTTAGATCGATCAATCGTGAAGAAAATTGATGGATTCCCTCAGAGAAATTGAAATCGTGTTATGATGTGGCTGCATGTCTACACTTTGTAAGTAAATTGTGTTCAATGTTTTGCATTGGTTTGGATAGAATACGAAGTTCGATATATTAGAGCTATGAACTTTTTTCTTGATCGATTATTTAAGTTTCACTTCACGAAAGGATGTAATTTTGCAAAGACGCAAACTGTCTTCCCCCCGTTTCCCTCCATCAGTAAGTTCACTATGTTACCTTCAAGCCACTCATTCTTCTGCTATGCAATATTTTGTCGTTAATTGTATCGCGATTAATACATTAAAAGTCTGCAAAAATCACTAAAGCTTCAAGACTTTTCTTTTCTTAATAAAATGAAGCCTAGAAGTTGTAAGGTTTAAAAGCTTCAAGTTAAGTTTTGAGTTTTTAACGTTTCATGTTTTGTTTGAAAATTAAATAATTTTTAAGAAATGAGGTTTGGTATATATATAGAAATTTTCATTCTTATATCTATTTTATTTTACAAATAATGAGAAAGAAACTAAATTTTCTTTTTTTCTCAGTTTACGTTGTTCTTTGGTCGATTTGACCTATTCTGAGTAGTAACCTGAGTGTAAGAAGAACATTTACCGCATATATGCTTAGATTGATTCAGAATTTTGATACTAGACAACAATGCACATATTCCATGCCTCAAGCTTCCTTGTTTCCTTCCTTTCTGACGTTCCGATAAAATTAATGTATCCCTAACTTCTCGGTTGCACTTATACTATAATAATAAAAGATTTACTAACATTCGAAATTTTACATATGAAAATACAATTTTTAAAATATAAAAAGTTTTTTTTTTTAGGTTTTTTCAGGAAAAATTTGGGCACGCGTGATTTCTACTGCCGACAAGACGCAATTTTGCGCTTAAAATAACAAAACATCTTTAAGGGATCATTTAAGGCGATAGTGAGAATAACAAAAAAAAAAAAATGTTGAAACACAGTGGTTTACGTTTTAATCTCGTTTTTGTCTTGCTAATTACCCAAATTGTTAACTTATTTAACGTGATTACTATTCAAAACAAATTTTGAAAAAAAATCTTTCGTTTTGAAATATATTTTTTCGGTTCTTTTTTGTTTTGAATAAATCATTTGAAAATCTATTGCAGCCATTGGGTGGCAATTAAAAGCGAAGGGCGTGAAACAGCGGAACTTGATTAAAATATTCGACTTATATTCGAGTTATGGCAAGCGTGCACGATACTATAGCCACGAAACCGAATGACTTGTGCAAACACATTTTAAAGTTATTAATTATTCCAACTCGACAAAATTCGAACCGAAAAAGTGTGCCGCCACTTCAGTTCGAAAATGGAGGGCTTTGAGTGGCATAAAGAACATTATTCCCTCACATAAAACCCTTTGGATATAATTCTTGAATAGTTTAAGGCGATAGCCTTAGAATTTTCAAAAAGTAGAGCTATACGTCGTAAGCGCGTTTTAGCCTTGCTATCTATCAGGATTGTTAGTTGGTTTTACTTGGGCTTCTCAATATAATAATTGCCGTTGCTCTCCTAACTAAGAATCGCGTTTGCAATTGTTTTGCTTATTCAAATTATTCTAGAAAATTTTTTTATGTTAATGAAAGATTTTTACGAACTTACTTTTATAATGGTAATAACGTTTGTTTTGCACATGAAGGCTTTTCTAACGGTGGAATGTGCACATTTCCAATGCGGTTAATATTGCACATATGACAGATGTTTTCTAGGAGACTTCTTGGGATTGTATAAAAGCAATTTCAAATTAAAAACGAAAGCTGTTTTTCTTTGCAAAAATTTAATTGAATTCATTTTAAAATTTCTATAGATTTAAGAATTTTTTCCAATAATATGAATAACTTTTGCTTTACTTTCATGAGATACAACAATAATTAAACACAAATATGAAATATTCAGGGATGACTCATTAAGCGTATATAACAAAATTTCGGATAATTCTTTTCCATCAATATTTTCACTTCATTCAATTTAAAAAAGCGAGATCTTCAAGGTTAATTCAATTCAAATCAAGTGATAATGTAGCAATACGATATGTTTACGAAGGTTAACGAAGCAGTTCATAATTTAATAATTGTACGAATCAAGTTTGAAGGTTGCATACCCTTGCAAGTAGTCCGTTTCCAGGGGATGCAATTCCTTGGAAGGTATGATAAGACAATGTAGAGGGCCACCTAAATCTGTCGATGCCATGTCGTGCAATGATTTTGCTACTATGCGTTGAGTTTCACTTCCTACACGCGCCAAACCCACGCACATTGACAAATCACTAAGTACAGTGTTGTGCTCTAGAACGTTCTTTCGATCAACGATACTTAATAGCTGTTGAGCAGCGTCCGCAACTGTCATAAAACGCATGATTTGCCTTCGTCCTCTTACTCGGGGCTCGCCGGCAGGCTCCACGACTTTAATATCAAGCAAACATAATGTGTGCATGTTATGGAGACGATTAAATTTGATTTTATCATAAAAACTTTCTGGTTTCCATGTCTCATCCCAATACGGGATAGTTACAATTTCACCAAATTTGTATAACTCGAGACCGCAACAACCGACAGCCGTAAGTATGGAAGCATTATGTATAACTTTATAGGGTATCTTCTTGTCTCTAGCTCGTAGAACGAGATCAATATGTGTCGTTGCTCCAAATGGATCGCCTACAATCAAAAGTGCTACGTCGTCTTCACTTGCTCCCGTTAGAATTTCATCGGTTTTCTCTTCAACGAGATCACGATCAGCTAACAGCAAAGGACGACCATAATATGTTTCCAATTCTTCTTTATGACAACCCAAGATGGACGTATAAGATTCCAAGTAAACGCGACTACACCGTTTGACAATTTCAAGTCCTTTCACTGTAATATCCATTGGATCTACTAAACCCAAACCAATCAAGTAAAACATTTCGACAAAAGCACAGTTAATAAATTCCAATGAGTAATGCGTTATCTATTGGCCTTTTCTTAATTAATTAGATCCGTTTTTATGGTGAATGAAAATATTCGCTTATTTGTCTTTTCGACTTTTCCCACTTACTTCACAAGGAAATTACTTTTATTATTTTTGCTTTGGTTTTTTTTTTTTTTTTTTTTAATTTCAAGACTTATTTTGTACTTTTTATTACGTATATGATCCTAAACTCTGTCGAAAAGAAATATTCTGCACCTTTTGAACAAAGAAAATTGCAAGTGACATGTCTGTCCGTTGACCTTAGCAAATTTAACGGAGCAGAGAGAGTAAAAAAAACCGTTTACTTCTTATTGCAATGCCTAGGTATTAGAAAACGGATTGAAAGTAATAAGAAAATGATGAGTGATCAACTCATTACAAGGAGAAGAGAAATTTTTTTAAAAGAGATTGCGATTGTTTTCATTTTTCAGTTCACACATGAGCATGCAAGAGCAAGAGAATATTATTATTGTGTGGAAAGTAATGGTAAAATGTCAATAAAGAGAGTTGCTGTGATTAACAGTACGATTATACCACTAGTGAGTGTAGATGGTGAACGACAATATCGATGAAGAGAGTAGCAGTGACTAACAGTACGATTATAGCACAAGTGAGTGTACAGGTGTCCACCGTTTAACACTGTTAATTCATACCGTGCTGTATTCGAAACGTTGTTATACGAAACTTTCTTATTATACACATTACTAGAGGATGGGGAGCAATACTCATTTTTTGTAATGCTTGCAACACTCGAAAAATTAATAGAAATTGAAATTGTTGGATCACTAAAGAAAGAAAGAAGTTAAAATTTTTGGATGTCATTGAACTTGCATTATATTCAACAAAGATGGAGTAAGGTTTGCTGAAAACTTTCCGGCCCAAACAAAAAACAAATGCTTTTTTGGAAAGACAAACTTCGTTTTATCAAAGTAGTACCCTTTTATTTCCTACGCCACTTGTGATCCGAGTTTGTGCAGTTGTTAGTAACATCCACAAAGGCTTGAAATAGACTGGTCTTTTGCTGTATCCGAATCGATGGGTATAATGGGTTGTATGTAACATCCAGACAAGCTTGAAATAGGCTGACCTTTTGCTGTATCCGAATTGATGGGTATAATAAATTCTGGATCACCTTCTAAATTGTACGGTTTAATAAAAGGTAGATCTATTTCATTAGTTTGTCTATCTGTCCGGCTTATTTATTTGTGTTCAACTTACAGACCGACATTTTTTAAAATACTTTGATGAAATACGGTACAGCGATATGTTGTGACTCAAAAACGAACGCTATTGAAAATGGCTCTAATCGGATCATTTTTTTAACCACTTCTGTTTAAACTATATTAAGCAAAGAGGTGAAGGATATTTAATTGTGAACCGTGGCAACAGTGTTTTAATTTATTTATAGGACGATTGGCCAACACCTTTGAAATATTCGTCAGATTCCATCTGATTATCATCATTTGATTCAAATCTTTTTACTTGGATTATCTTTAAGGATTTGCATGCAATTAACAATCATTGAAGATTAGATCTGGAGAATATGGCGAATGAGGCGGCACCGCAAACTTCAATTCATGTGTTTTTGATCGCTTGTGAGCAAACCAGCAGTTAACGTTCTAATGAATTAACCTTGATTCGATATGAAGCAAAGACTGCTATCTCTACGTAATTAATTTGACAATGGTACGTCGGCATTTAGTGAACTTGACCGATATTTTCGTTGGTGATTACAATGTTTGGACTCTCCCCAGCATTCATTGTCAACCAAAGTAGTAAGGAAAAATTGTAAAAATTCAAGTAATGTAGAGTTCCCATCCAAAGCGTCCGATCTTGCCTTTAAATTGTAAAAATTTGTATTGCTTGCCGTTTACACAAAACGCACAGATCGACTCACCCAAAATGATGTTAAACCACAATTACGCCCAAGCCACAAAAGCCCAAGTTTTAGTGCATACTTACAAGGGCATATAGAAGCATTTTCCCTAGGCATGTGATGCTACGTTCATGAAGCCTTTGTGGACGTTAGACTTTTCAATATTTTCCAGCGCCTTGGAATACTAAAAACCGATTCTCTTCGCTACATACGCTTGATATCGAAATTAATATTTTTACTTTTTCAACGCCCAAGATGAGTACGTCTTCCTTTTTGCTCTACTTGATGGAATTTTGTTGCGTAAGCTACGAGAAAAACTATTAAAAATTGTAATCCCGCAATGAATTAAAAATACGTGGATGAAGTATTGCGCAATTGCAGAGATTGAGAAGCTTAAATGTAAATATGTCTCATCTAAAACTGTACATTTAATAGGCCAGTGTAAGAGATCGGCTAACTGGCTTGCCCAAAATGAGCAAAGTATTTTGCTATTTTTCAGCATCAACTTGAGATGTGACACATTAATGATTCGCTTTGAATTGATAATAATTTTCTTCTTTTCCTTTTCTATTTCCTATTATTGCTTTAACGGCGGCTTCATTAAAACATTGATGGGTTTTTCTTTTTTGTTGTTTTAATATATTTATTTTATTTATAATGTAATTATTTTATAGATTTATCATATGTACGTAAGTATATTTACTTATTTATATATAAAGATATATATAAATATATACATATATATATATATATATATATATATATATATACAGATTAATATATATATATATGTTTACATATATATATATATATATATATATATATATACACATATATATTTATTTATATATATATATTTATATATATGTATATAAGTTCGGTTTCTTTTTATTTATTTATTTTTTTGTTTACGTGTGTGTTTATATACTCATAATGTGTATTGTAATGAATGTCTGCAGTGGGTTCTGCCATTTTTATATGTATGTGTAAGTATATTTATGTAATAATTGAAAAAAATCTTTTTTATTTTTTACTTGTTTTAATAGTTTTTGTTTTTGTTTCTCTTGCTTCTTTCACACAAAATTTCAATGACGTTCAATGCTATGATCAAATTAATTAATATATGTACGTATTTACGTGTGTTTTTATGTCTGTGTGTATGTATGTAAGCAAGTATGTACGTATATATATATATATATTTGTATATATAAATATATATATATATGGATGTGTGTGTGTGGGTGCGTGTGAGTGTGTAGATGTATCTGTAAATGCTTATAATAGATAGTAAAGGATGTGCATTGGAGTGTACGTGTGTGTGTCTATGTGTATTTATGTAAGTAATTAATTGCATAATAGTAAGAATCATAATTGTAATAATAATAAGCATACAAGAGTAATGATAAACAAATTGCGGTTGTTCTCTTCTTATTTTTTTGTTTGCTTTTTCATTTTTAAATAAAGTTATTTCATTTCCAATTTCTTAAACATTTTTTTTCTTGTAAAATTCTTGTATTATTCATATTTGCATTTATATAGTGGTATATATAGCTGTATACATATATAATAATTATATATATACTTCATCTTTATATGCAATTATTATATATATATATATGTATATGTAGTTTTAATTATAACGAATATATGCATATACATATCATATATATATATATATATATATATATATATATATATATATATATATGTATATATATATATAGTACAATTATGTATATGTATATACGTAGTTATAAATAACTGTTTATTTTTTTATATAGTTCTCTTAAATTTATATATTATTTCTTTTAATTACTTTTAATTATAACATAGTTCATAATTACTTGCAAATTGTGTTTACACCGCATACCAGCCTAAATAATGCACATAAGTCTGATGATCAAATCATTGTTTTTTTTTTTAGTTTATTTTATTCATTTTTAAATTGCGTTTTTTTCTCTTTTTTTTTAAAGTAAAACAAAATGGAGAGTATACATATATATATATAGTGTATATATATATACATATATATATATATATGATGTATAATATGTATGTATATGTGTATATGTATTTAATGTGTAATAACGATGTATATATGTATGATAAATCAGTATACGCATATATATATATATATATATGTATATATATATATACATATATATAAGTTTTGTAAATAGCTTTTTTATATATATATATGAGAAATACACCGGTACGTGTATGTGTAATAAATATTAACAAAATAAAATTCTTGACAATCGTTAAACATCATGATCATAATAATATGAACAAAAAAAAATTCTTTCGATGAATTATTTTTTTTTTTATGAATTTAAATTCAAAGAGTTTAGTTAGTTACTACGTGATTTTTATACAAATTTTCTTTAGATTTTAAATAACACTTTTTTTCTGTTTCTGTTTTTATCTATCATAAATGTACGCATGTACATGTGTATCTATATATATATATATATATATAGATAGATATATATATATAAACACAAGTCATTGTTTAACATCAAATTTATAGTTGTTGTTGTTATGATTATTATTATTATTATATGTTAAAATATCTCTTTAAGGACAAGGACGCTTCATTTTTCTGTTAAATACAAATTTCTTTCTCATACATACATGTATACATTAATGTTGTATATATGCGTATATACCTGTTATATATATTTATATATATCTCGGTTTATAGATTTACTTACATTTTAACAAATATTTTAAAGGAGAAATAGTGAAAAAAGTTATCGAGCAAATAATGTGTTTAAGGTTTTTCCCTTCATTTTTTTTTTTACAAGTATTGGTAGTAATAATAGTAGTAGTGTATGCAGATAGAGGAGTTTCAGTTTTTTATAAAAATCTCTTCGTTTAATTAAATTTTCTTTCTTCTTTTTTTCATTTAAATTTTTCACATAATATTTGTATTCAATTATATATATGCATTAAAAATCTTGTTTTTTTTTTTTTTTTTTCTATATATAATAAAACATGAAAAGAAGAAAATGATTGAAAAATGAAAATTTCCTATAAATATGTACACACGGTATGTACGCTTCTTTTCGTTTATGTGCACGTAAGATATTTAACATAAAACGGCAAAAGAGAGAAAGAAGCATTGAAAATAGAGAGAGACAGAGAGAGAGAGAGAGAGAGAGAGAGAGAGAGAGAGAGAGAGAGTTATTT